AACAAACACACAACTCACAGTTGATGGAGAATCTGAGAGAACAGGTGTGTTTTTAAAAGACATTTAAAACAGGAAGTGACGAGGCCTGTCTAACGTTGGGGCTAGATCGTTCCAAAGGTTTCAGCCTGGTTTTAGGAACGACCAAAAGCATCTGATCAGAAGGTCTCAGTGCCTGAGAAGGACTGTAAGGTTGAAGTGGATCAGAGAGATCAGAGCGTGCACGGCCATGTTGGCTTTTATACGTGAGCAGGAGAAGTTTAAAACCCATTCTGGACAATGTCCTGTACCATCAGGACAGGACCAGGTGCAGTGAGCAGGTGAACTGGTTGACCTGATGGGACCTGAGACCCACTGTATCTCATAAACTGATCTGCTTGTAACCATGGCAACATGTTAGTGAGCAGAACTACATTTAGTTTTCAGTGCTGTAGAGAAAACTGGTGTTAGATTGTAATAGTCTGTAACAGTCCAGAGCAGGGGTGCCCAAACGTTTTCCACAAAAAGGCCAAAATRAAAATCACTGTGAGGGCTGCGGGCCAAATGCACTAATATAATACATAAAATACATAAAATACAAATACTTCTGGAGTATTTTTATTTTTCATGATTAAGCTAGGAGCCAGAGCCGTGGCCCACGTTTTGTGTATTCTTTTAGCACGTGCACTTTGACACTGTTTGACGTAAGCTCGAGCAGCAAAGGCTCATGGGATATCTCATAAGTTGACAAAACCTGAGTATTTGTGTTCTTATGAAGTGTTCAAATGGGCACGTGTGCTGAAATATAATCTAAATGCTGTATCACCTTTAGTTACTTAGTTCATGTTTGATCCTAAAATAAATCAAACAAAAGTCAACYATTGTCACTGCGTGTCCTTCCACTGGGCCGGTGCACGGTTCATCCTCAGTGGAAATACAGTGTTTGTGCAGAGGACAACAGGACATTACAAACTAGTGACCAGGGCAACTAGTGGTGGGCTACAGGGCCCACGAGGGGACACGGGAGATTATTTTTCTTTTGCGTTATCTCACAAAAAGTAGTTTATCACTGTTGTGCTGCGGGTTTATTAACAAACTCATGTTCACCATTAGTGAGTTAGCCTACTACTAACTCAGCTTCAGAATGAATRTATCACACAGACACACATGGAAGTTTGTCATATATTGATATTTTAACACAGTGCAGCCACACAACATCAATGTTAATTTCACAAACTGTGGCAACACATCCTGTTTTGGTAACCAGATATTTCAAAATAAAAGTCTGATTTAATTCAGTTCATATTCTAAACAAACTTTTACGTGGGAACGCAAAGGTATTGCGTGGGAACACAAAGGTATTGCGTGGGAACACAAAGGTATTGCGTGGGAACACAAAGGTATTGCGTGGGAACACAAAGGTATTGCGTGGGAACACAAAAGGATAAAAAAAATCCCCCATGTCCCATGGCGGGCTCCGTAGTGGGCCAATCAAAAGACTTGGTCCACCAATTTTGGCCCGTGGGCCTCACTTTGGGCACCTCTGGTCTAGAGATATTAGGATTTGGAACTATTGAAGTTTTTATGGTATAAAAAAGATTAGGACTTTTAATGTTGTAGTTTATCTTTATTATCAGTTATGCTACAATTGTTATTTGCTTTTGTTGAGAAATAAATCTTTGACCTGATGACAACACTGATGAACCTCTGGGTGCTGCAGTCATTACAAGCCTGTCAGGTTTCAAATTGCTTCACTTCAGAACTTATATTCTCTGTTAGTTTGATTATTTGTAGGTGTTAGGCTGATGGTTATTAACTGGGATAATGTGAATATCCTTATGAAGCCAACAGAGGTTAGGGTTAAATATGTGACTGACCTGATGACATCATCTTTACTGGGACAACTCTGTTGTTTTTGTTAATCAGGAGGGAGGCATGTCTTTGGCCAGGACACCATCTGCTGTAATCATCACCGTCAGTTTATTCTGACCCGGTTCAGGGTCTGACATGAAGTCTTTGTGTTTTTAAGATCTGAATGTTGAAACAGTTTAAACAGTTAGACATTAGAGCTGCCTGTTAGCACAGATCCATGATGGCTCTGTGTTCATTTCTGTTTATTGTAATAAATTATTCTAACAGGTGACTTTATTCTTTAAATCACATCCTTCTGTTTCTTGTTAAATCAGTATTTCCACAACAGTAAGTAAAGCTGGTACTGCAGGATGAACCAACGTGCGTTCTGTATTTATCAGGTTTGCTACGTAAAGGTTTTAAAACAGAACAGTGTTTTTTAATAGTGCTGAACTGAGGAATGAGCTGCTGCTCTACCTGTTTCAGGTGCAGCTGGGCTTCCACAGCCCCGCCCCTCAGGCTGTGGAGCAGTGGGAGGACACCATGGCTCATCCAGAGAAGGTGGTGTCAGCATGGCACAGCCTGAGCCCCTGCTAAACCAGACGTGACCATCACCACGTCCAGCTGCTCGACCATGGAGCTGTGCACTGAGTCCAGGTGTACTCTAAACAACTGACCAGGTTCTGGACGAACCAGGAGGAAACTGTTGACACGCTCATACAGTGGTCTGAACAAACTGGTTTAGATTAAAACAAGAGACTCCTGTAAATACAGCATTTTTAAATAATACACTTAGTAAGAGACATTCCTGTTCTGCCTTTCTGTGAAACTTTGAATTTGTACAGTTGGATATAGGTTTATAAGTAAAGATAATCAGACAATCACATTTACAGTAAACTTTTAGATAACTTGCATTAGTTATTAGTTTATGAACTAGTAGTCTGGTGAACTTTGGCCTTTTTTATTGTAAACAAACATAAAAAAATAAAAAGCCTGTGAAGTGAAGTGTTTAGGACGAGTCTTTTCTCTTTCCTTGAGACAACATAAACCTCTCTCAACATTTCTCCTTCAGTTTCATCAACACTTATTCCTGAACACTTTAAAACTGTTGTGAAAAGTCAGTGGAACTGAATAGTTGTGTTGTTGAAGTGATTTTCATTATAAAAGCATGTTTAAGATAAAACATAGATGAGGGTGTTTAGACCAGGAGGAGTGAAATTATCTTTGTTTTAAATTAATTCAGTTTTCTTACAGTATATACTGTATACTCTGTAGTACTAACTGTAAACTAAAGTTGTGTCAGAGCAAAGCAGCTCACTCTTCACCTGAAGGACTGAGTGGGACAGAGTGGAGGAGGAGGAGGGGGCTGTGAAAGATGGACCTACAGTAGGCAAACAACTTTGGATTGGTCCAAGTAACCAACCCTGAGGAACTCCATGACTAACTTTGGTGTATGAAGACAAGACAAACTAGAATCTATCAGATAAAAAATGACATAAAACCCTTTTAGAGCTGTTAATCCCAATATCATGTTCAAACCTGTGTAACAGATTTAATGATAAACTGAGATCTAACAGGCATGGACACAAATCCACTGACTGAAAGGACACAAGTCCTCTGAGTCCTTGAGTACACCATCAGTATCAGCATGCTGTTTCTGTGCTGTGATGACCTGAAACTCCTCAAACAGAAGATTTCTGTCTTTTCTGGAGACTTTCAGGGATGAGTGGGAGATTAGATTTAGGTCTATGATTTAGATTTAGGTCTATGATTTAGATTTAGGTCCAAGATTTAGATTTAGGTCTATGATTCAGATTTAGGTCTATGAT